CACAGAAATTTCCATAAAGAATTTTTCTACAAACTTTTCACCAAAACCCGCTACCACTCACTATCGCCTTCAATTTTCAATTCCTCCATCGACATTCCCAACTTCAAAATCGTGCAGTAACAAATCTACGATACCATCCACTCTTACAGATCACGCCGGTGATAAACCAGGCAGCGATGTCCACCAAATGCTTTGCATCATCATACTGCGCATCACTCCAGTCCTTGGTCACATCCTCACACTCGAAAGGGCCTCCCGCTGAACAGGTCGCGAGTTCGATCCCGGCACCCAGCATCTCGAAAATATTATCACATTTCTTAGTTTCGCCATGAGGCCCGCAGTACTCCACCACAACCTTGAGGAAACTCACAAGACCAACGCCCGATACAATCTGGAGCACCTAAAGCAAACACACGCGTTCTTTCAAAGAAACTCGCATATCCACAAACTCACCGCCCAGATGGCGCCACAAAGACCGCATGCGCAGAACATACCAATGAGGTTGCGGTCACTAAGATACAAAACAGGTCCGAAAATGGGCATCTCGTATTCCAAAATGCACGATGAGGACATGTTTTCAGACAGACACGCGAAACCGTATCTTACTTTAGATAGCTCGTTTGGATTAAAAATCGAAAAAAATAACGTTCGTATCTTTGAGATACATTTGGTACGAAACTTAGAAAAAAAACCCAAAAATCAAACCAACAGAAAATCAAAATTCCCAAATTCATGAAAATTTCCTTTCCAAAATTGTCATAGTCGACGCCGCCTGCCAATACCAAAATTCTTTCATATCATCTCACTTATTCTTAGCCCCATAATATCCGCACGCAGGTACCAACAAACCGACTACCACTGAGAAGAATGTCCCAGAGGAAACGTAGTGGAACAATACGTCCTAAAAATGGAAAATAGATCAACAAAAACACACAAGAAAATACACTAGGAATCGGCCGACTCTGCAGCAGGAAAACGAGCAATATGAAGATTCTCTAGTTTTATGGTATTTCGTCAACAGAATTTATGGTGAACATGACGACAACTTAACCACATAACGCGAGTTGAAAAATACATTTTAACTCACCCGTCGCTTTACTCGGTACTAAACTGTTATTTTCAAAATTAGCAATATTCACTCAATCGATATGATATCCTTAGTAATTTGCATACCAACTTTTTCGCAACTCATTACCCCTAGGATAGTCGTGATGATCACCACTACCGCAGTTGCAATACTCAGACTGATAACCTGACGCACAAGATACTCCAACAGGTCCCCTCTCTTAAGATACGAAACAGGTCCCCTCTCTTAAGATACGAAACAGGTCCCCTCTCTCAAGATTCGAAACAGGTTTCCTCTCTTAAGATACGAAATAGGTCCGGAAGTGGTACCTTCTTCACGAGCATCGCCATCTCAGGACCGCTCACATTCAGCCCGTATACTAAAATCGAATTACGCGGATATCCCTGGTCGCCACTGGTCGCAGGCTGTAGAGGGGCATTGAAATTGTCCATCAGAAGATACGACTACACACCGGACATGATTCGTATCATGCACACTGCGTCCTAAGATTCCTCCAATCTCGCTCGCCCGAAAGCAACCCTAGACGTTCACTTTTACAATCACAAGCTTTGGGAAAGGGCAGCATTTAAATTGATTCCATCAAACACATCCATAGTAGTGGAACAAGTACAGGCACTAACTACTCCTGCGTAATCGAAAAGTCCCCGGATCAAATCCCACAACCTCCACTACTTAATTATTCAACACAAACCACAACCATAACTTCATAAATATTATCTTCGACGTTTTTTCTCCCCCGGATTCTGCCGCCGTATTTGCCTCTCCACACAACTCGGGCAAATCCAAGTACCTGTTCATGTTTCACCGTCATCCAAAAATTACCGCGCGCCACAAAATTCCCTCACTGAAGTGCGCCCGTCTCGCATCCGCTTCATTCTCCGGTGGTGGCAGACCGCATCCTCGTTTTGCAATGTAGTCTTTAGCGCACCTGAAGCGAGCCTCTTCCCAGGGCCACGAAAAGTATCATCTTTCCCTACTGTGGGTGCCACCACTGCACTTTACACTTGTCTCCTCTATCACAACCAACCATATACGATCCATCATCAGGCTTCTTGCAGACACACCATAACTGAAGAGGAACGAACACAACACGATAGCAGTAATAATATCATCCTGCAAATAAAAATGCCTATGCTCTAATCATTCAGAACATTTCCACAAGATCCATTAAATCTAGACACACTGTCTAGATTTAATAGCACTGTGGTATTCTATTTACAGCGAAACTTCGTTTCTGCAAGATCGATTCCGAACGATTCTCCAGAGGACTTGAAATAAAACTGCGCATCCATGCCTAACCCACGTGGAAATCAATTTCGGCGTTTCACAGTCAACCACAAAATCAGGCGTTTCGAAAGGTATAGGACTCACTCACCTCAGCGGGAGGCTCTGGGCTCGGCAGCGTCTCAGTGTCATTCACAGACTCCGTTACCTAATAACAATTATCATACCACTCCTCCGCCAACTCCTGTGAGGCTGAGCACCGAGTCGCTATTCCCATCTCGAGGGGACGATGCTACTGAGGTTCCTGTTAGTCTTATCTTCTTAGCAATAGACCCGGTGGGCGTATCCTAAGAAGTAAACAATTAACGCTCGAATACCACTCCAATCTGAACGCCACACATTCACTATCCTACGGGGGTATGCTATCCTTTGACCACGGAAGCTGCCGGCACCAATGCGTATGTGATATATTTATTAACTCTTCAGTACAGAAAACCACCGATAAATTGCATTTGAAATTCTTCACTTGACCCCACAAGCGAATTACCACCAACATGAATTCCGATGCGATACGAGCAATGTTAAGAAGAACTGTTCGATACGAAACATAACGGTTTGGATCAACAGTACGACAACTACTACCCTCTCTCCACCAAAGTCATCGATCTCACTACTATTAGCCTCCTTCTGCTGAGCCGCAATCTAACAAAAAGGGTAATCCAAAGGTCCCCGGATCGATCCCCGGTCCCGCCACCTCATCCTCCTCGATAGCCGCAGCTGTTGCAACTACCTCCCCCACAGACTGGAGCTCCGCTTTATCCTAATATCAACAATAATTCTCATCGGGAAATTATCATCAACAACTCATGCTACTGACAATCACACCCTCCACGAATTCAGCCACATTGCTGGTCAATTCGATATGCAACCATAGAGAATGTGTGTTATTCTCCTATATCAATGAGAATCTATCTATAACTATATCGCATAAACAATGTTTTTTGTCGTGGGAACAGAATCATACACGTTCGACATCGTAGTTTATTATACGACTCACAAGCGAATCGTTCATCCGCTTCAACCATAGTCAATGTGAACATTGCTATGAACATACGATGTGATAGAATTAAGTTC